TTATATGTAAGAATATCTGGAAGATCGTTAATGTAAATTAAAAAGAGTATAGGACCAAGGATTGAACCTTGAGAAACCCCTGAGGTTACAGAATGAGAAGAAGAGTGCTGTCCATCAAGGACAACTTTAATACTACAATTAGAAAGAAAGGATTTAATAATCTTAAAGATGTTTCTAGATACACCGTAAGAAGAAAGCTTATGGAGAAGACCAGCATGCCAAACTTTATCAAACGCTTTAGAAATGTCAAGAGCAATGCCATTAACCTCTCCACCTTTATCTAATGCACGATAAAACCTATCGGTTATTACTTTTAGCAAATCAGCCGTAGAATGAGAAAGATCGAAATCCATATTGATAATCAGAAAGTTATGAGATTCGAGATAAGAGATTAAGTGTTTGTTAATTAAAGATTCAAAAACCTTGCTTATGATAGGAAGAAGACTAATGGGACAGTAGTTAGACGAATAAGATTGCTTTCCAGAATTTTAAAAAATAGAGATAACAGATGCTGCTTTCCAGCAGGCTGGAAAACAAGACTCTGATAAGCACTTGTTAAATAGTTTTGAAAGGATAGACGACAGCTCTGGAGAACACTTCTGCAAGACTATAACAGGTATGTTGTTTGGGCTGCAAGCTTTAGAAGAGTCTAAGCAGGAAATCACTTTTGATACAGAAACTGGAGTGATATGGATGTCGAGCAATGGATCAATCTGTTTGATGGCTATATCAGGTAGAGCCCAACTAGTGGAGTCAAGAGATGATATTGATAAAAAATTCTTAGCAAACAATTCAGCTTTGTCTTTAGGTGAGGTGACTAAGTCTGAACCATACAAAAGAGGTGGAATTACAGACTTGCCCTTGTTATTGATACTATTAAAGATTCTCCAGAAGTCACAAGAGCCTAACTTTTGTGATGAAATACAAGATTTCATGATCTGAAAATAGCGGGCTAGGGTGTTAGACAAAACCTTTTTACAATGGTTCCTAGCAGTAATAAACAGACGTCTGTTTTCTGGAGAATTGTTTTGCTGATAGATATAGTAGTAATGGTTTCGATTGGCAATTGCAGCAGCACAATGTGAGGAAAATCATGGAGAAGGGTGAGGCTTGACCTGGAATCGATGAGAGGGAATAAAGGATTCCATGCCAGCCTGAATCCACTGAGTTATGTAAGAAGCGCATTTGTCAATAGGAAGACGAAAGATTTCTACCCAGGGGCCATCACGAAGAAAATTACGGAAAGAGTCCCAGTCAACTTTAAGGTAGTTGTAAGATGTATGATGATAGGGGGATTCTAATGGTAAAGAAGAATGAGATAATAGTTTTAAAGAGACCAAACCATAATTAAAGGCACCTAAGGGTGAGTGTGGAGAAACAGAGCACAGACTAGGATCAGAAACAAGACATAAGTCGAGTAGAGAAGATAAATGATTCGGGTTATCTAGAAAGCGAGTTGGAAAGTTGACTATTTGAGTTAGGGATTGAAAAAGGCGATAGTTGTGGGCCTTAATGCCTGCAGAGTTACTGATACTAGAGCCAAACCATTCAGTGTGATGAACATTAAAGTCACCGACAACAACAATATTGGCTGATGGATAAAGAATGAGGGCTTGGTCAATATGATCGGAAATAACATCAAGAAAAGTGCAGTCTTGAGATGAGGGAGAACGATATAGAACAAAGAGAAAGGTGACAGAGTGAAATGGTGCTAAATGAAAGCATATAAAAGAGCAATCTGTGGATTCAAACCTAGTTTTCTGACAAATGGGTGAATTCTTACGAATGTAAATGCCCAGGCCAAGCATATGACTATTGGAGTCTTTACAAATTAAAGGAAGATAACCATCAACACTAAGATCACAAGATGAGACAGCTGAACTCAAATTAGTCTTACAAAGAGCTAGTAGGTCTGGTGAACTTTGCGAGAGATATGACTCAACAGAAGAAAAGTTATTTCAAAGACCAAAAATAATAGTGAATGATAGGTTTAGGGAACTTGGTGCTGACTGGTTTTTTGTGTTTTATAGTTTTTGCTACTTTATTCATTTTTAAATTTGTTAAAGAACTTGACTCGAAACATAGATAGTACTCAGTACACTGTTTTATAGCCCAAGCAATTGCCTCATTTCTACTAATAAACCCTAAGCCATAACAAAGGGCTCCAATGTGGCCTTGGCAATGCACACCAAAAGTAGAAACAGGGTCACTATCCATGCGCAACATGGCACTGTTAGTACTTTGATATTTTTCAGCTGTTGATGGAATCAGCCTCTCTGAAAGCTACCACAGGGTTCGGGAAACCTGACTAACAGCCGGCCTCACAATCATAAAACCGAGTTTTAGAGCTGTACCCTCATTAGGAGATAGTAGAATGAGACACTACAAAACCCAAATATTGAGTCAAGAAGATCCAGCAATCAACATCCTAAACTGGAAACAATGTATTAAAAAAACATCTGCACCAGCCTAATAGATGAAGAAGGGGCGGGAGGCTGGT